GAACAATGCCGTACAGAGCTAGTAAGGGATGCATTCATTCATAGGTTATTGTCAGTAAATATTCGGCAGCTTCTATTTGAAAATGAAAACCTTACCCTCTAGTAATCCGACGACAAAGTAAGAATTTTAGATCTAGCTCAACGTAATGCAGAATTTTTCATTCCACAAGACTCTGTGACTGCAATGACCGAAGGACATCCTCCCATTTCTGCCTCCTCTCAACCCCGGGATTCTTTTGTTTCACCAGAAACTGTGGCCTCAACGAGGCGCATTTGTTTTTCTTTTTTTTTTATCTGCGGGGCTATAATATATTTTTGCTTGTCATTCCCTGCGAAAGACGATAAATGTTTTTCATGTGGAAAAGGGTGTGTGTGTGTGTGGGGGGGGTCACTGGTGTAAAGTCTTTAAAAACAACAAAATCCTTGTGTATCCTCGTCGGCTTCATTTAGTAGCTTATTGAAAACTAATATAAAAATCAAGGCCAATGGCCTCCCTCTAGACGCGCTGGTTGATATAGGTAGCACAGAAATTTTTTATTGATGCAGGTATCACGAATTCAAACCGGTGGGAATTTTTTTGGTGCTCTAGCAGAGTAGCAATGGCTAATGCAGGATTGTCATCTCAAGTACTTGGATACTGTCTAGTAGACTTGAACATAAGAGAGGCCTCGTACAATAAAGTGAAATTCTTAAGAATGAAGAACCTCTGCCGTGGTGTAATACTGAAACACGATTTGCTTCGACAGCACTCTCATGCCGCGATACCATTTGGTGGACCCAAACCGTCAATAAAATTATGTGGACTAACGTCAGCTAACATGCCTTACCTGGTATTTTTCGCAAATTTAACGCCTGACTGTAAAGCAACAGCCATAAAATCATGACAGTATACAAATGAAGACAAACATTTCATTCATACCAAGATTAAAAGAATGCTTCTTTCTTTCTTTCTTTGTGCCATGTCCTTTTAGGCGATCATGGCTCTCCACTTCCCTCTATCCCTTGCAGCTCTCAACAAATTCCTTCCCTCTGCCACATCCCACAGACCACGTTCTGTCATCCACTTGATTAAGACCGCCAGGTAATGCTATGAGAAGGGTTAATAGAACAAAGCCACTCTCCATCGAAAGCGCAATCCTTGTGACGTCTTCAGAAAACCACAGAAAGAGAATGGTTATCGACTATTCATAGACCATTAATAAAATCACCCTTCTGGACGCATATTCATTATCGCGTATCGATGACATGATCGGAAAGATTGCTAAGTATGGTATAGTACACAAGATCTTCGAAGTACTTACCACCAGGTCGCAATAAAACCAAGTGATTAAGCCTATAGTGCATCCGTAGCGAGAGGTCGACTGTACCAATTTTGTAAAATTTCCTACGGTGTAACAGACGGTGTGGCCAGTTTTCAAAGAATAATAGACGAAATAATCTTAAATATAACCGTATGCGGCAATGGCCAGCCCGACCATGATAGGAAGTTTATGGCAGCAGTAGAAAAATGTAAATTAACACTAAACTACGATAAATGTTTGTTTTTTTAGGCAAAATGCTATTAAATTACCCGGACATGTCAATAAAGGTAACCTAAAGACAGATACAGAACGACTAAGACCACTTCTTAATTTACCGATCCTGAGTAATTTACACCCATCTTCGACGAGTGCTGTGGATCTCTGTACACTACGCACACTGGATATCTTCGTACTCTGAAAAAATACATCCATTAACAGCGATTTCCAAATCCCTCTTGACGCCTCACACCATCAGAACGTTCGAAGATGTAAAAAGGAACATTGCAGAATCCACTGTCACAACGATCGACTCAATAATATCAAGTAAGAACACAGCGGCAATGTGCTGAGCGTATATATATATATATATATATATATATATATATATATATATATATTAATAATTACACATATATGTACGTTTACAGTACAACAATAGTTTCATAGATTTGCCAATCATCAGGTACAAAATTTCCGAACTGTTCAATACGGTTAAAATAATAAAAAAAACAACCGTATTGAAAAGTTCGTAACTTTTTGTACCTCATGATTGGCAAAGCTATGAAACTCTGAGTAGTACTGTAAACGTAGGTATATTTGTAATTATTAATATATACTTTATAGTATGAATTTGAAAAGTTGGAAATCCACAAAATTTTCTTGTTATATGTATTTATCTGTTAAGGTGAAATTCAAACAAAATTCTCTCTTGACTGATTTGAACAAGAACTCTAGCGTCGCGATATCGCATACTCCAAAACATATATTCAACTGTCAATAAATAGCATAATTAAAAAAAAAAAAACATCTTTCGGTCTACACATATTTCGTTTTAGTATTTGCCTATATATAAGAAAATTGTGCACTGAAGATGACAATTTGAAATTGTCGAAAGTACTTGCCATGTATCTTTCATCTGACAACTCAAATATAAAGATCTTATTGTTCAGGGAATTGATAGTAAGTTAATGTCTCATTAAGTCTTATTAGCGAAGTGATTTCGCCATTAATCACATTAACATTGCTATTTAATTCTTTGTATAAATTGTTTCTTTATGATATAAAATATAAGCTGCACACGGTAATACACACACGCACACACATATATATGCAGCATATCTTCATTCAAACATTGTTTCAGTGAATAATATAGATATATTGTGTCTACTTTTATACTTATCATAACCAGTTTCTTGATGTTAAGATGAAATTCATCAAGGAAGACGCCGTAGCATTTTTGAAAAACAAACTACTTTCGACCTTTTCTAAGATCATCTTCATGGGTAAATTAAAACCATACACCGCTCCCTTATATTGAAACGCTTGTTTTGTAAAATAATCCCTAACTACAAATTTTTAAATTTAAAATTCTAAAATAACTATAACGGCGGTGTTTTGAAAATCACTATGATAGCAGAATGCAGATTGTATTGCAGTTACAATAGCATATTTGTCTTTGTAATTTAGGCATAAAAATGATCTTAGAAAAGGTCGAAAGTACTTGGGTTAAAAAAATAACTACGGCGACTTCCTTGGTGGAATGCATTTCAATATAAAGAAAATTATTAGAGAACTTGAAAGGATCAACATAAAAATAAGTTGACACAAATCGTCTATTTTATTCAGTAAAACATGTTTGTATATATATATATATATATATGTGTGTGTGTGTGTGTTTGTGTGTGCGTGCGTATGTGTGTGCGTTTGTGTGTATATATTATGAATTCTGCACAAACGTTTTAAAATGTTTACGGCAGATTGTTTAAAATATCTAGCTTTTTTTAATAGTTTTAAATACTAAAAAAAAATATTTAAACATTTATAACTTTGTTACCTTCCCCGATGTTTTACATCAAAAACTTAAATCGTACAGTACATAACCTTTGCGGTTTTCACTTCACAAGTAAAGATTTTTAACTTTAAGATTAACACAACAATTTTATCTTAGAAAAAACACCACCGCTATGTCGAAAGTACTCGGAATAAATGAATATGTATCAACATGGTAATTTTCCCTCTTCCTTTAATAAGGATACTAAGAAGTTTGTCCTTGATTATGAGAGGATCCTATTAAAAATAAGTAGACACAACTTGTCTAAATTATTCAATGATTTTTTAATATATATATATATATATATATATATATATATATATATATATATATATAGTAATCCACAGACAGACTGTTTTGCTGTTTCACAGCTCATCAATGTGGCTAGACATCCCATTGCTTCAAGTCTGGACCAAAACCTGATCGATTTGGCATCTGTCGGAGATTCTACTCCCTAAGCTATCGGCGCCCAGTAGGGAGAAAGGTGAATTTTTGCGCAATTATTTTTTCGTAAACATGGCAGTGACCTAGAGAACTCAATCCAGTTTTGAGTGTCTTGCATTATCAGCAGTAATAGTGACTGTTTACAAATTCGCGCTTTTCTCCCCATAATTCGAGAGAGAGAGAGAGAGAGAGAGAGAGAGAGAGAGAGAGAGAGAGAGAGATGCAGCGATTCTACTGCTGTTCAGTTTTCCGATTTCAGCCTTGATAGAGTTCAAAATAATTGATTGAGGAACTTTTCTACCTTTTTTCTAGCCGCTTTCCTCGCAGACGCAAAGTTGTAGCGCTATCGCTATTTCCATTGCAAATGTTCAGAAGAGCTCTATTCTCTAGTTTCACTAGTTCAGGTCTTTACAGCGAAGACACGCCATGCAACATGCACGGAGACAAAACATCCTTATGTCCTCTGTATTTCAAATTGTAAGGCGAAGGCTCCACTCAGATAGCTCTTCTCCAAGAACAACTACTTTGTCGAGCAAGCTCTCGCGTGGATGCTTCCCCGTATACGCTAATCTTAACCTCTTCAAGTCAAGGGTAAATTGTTATCGTCATAATCTGCAATTACATCCACATCTTCTTTCGTTCATATCAGACAATTCATCATCATTAGCATTTTAAGAGTAACACGCCTCGAGTGACTCTTGCAACTTGTATTAGGAGAAATTTAGTATTAATAAATAATAATACAAACCTATTGTAATTTACAGTCCTGTGTTGTTGTTTTTTAAAAAACTGAAATGAAAATAAAATAAAAAAAGAAAAGAAAATACAAAACCGATGAATGACAATAAAACCAGCTCGAAAAATATAAAAATATTTTAATATTTATACAAAAAAAAAAGATCTTCCCTCAAAAATATTGTCAAAAGTACATAAAACCCTTTATTACCGACAATTTAAAAATGTAATTATTTCATCGAATGATGCCAGTAAAAAATTAAATCCCATACATATGTAACACTTCGTAGGTATTTAAGACATCTTTATTGCTAAGACTGATACTGTCCCTGACCATCTCAATATCCTTGTACACTTGTGGAAATCATAGAATTTCACAGCGGAATAAGCTATAGAAATGAGATGATTTTGAAAATTCCTCGGTATCTCTAAAAATCTATCACTGACGGATAAGTGAGAAAGAAAATCAAGTTAAGATGTTGGGCAATATGAAGACTTCTTGGGCACAATGTGCGCTAAAATGGTGGTGGTGGGGTTCACGCTTCTTGATAAGACAATTCTGTAAGTTACATTGCAGATAGAGTAAAGATGAGGCAGAGAAAGAGAGAGATCAAGGCATAACATTCCACAGTATACAGGGATCAAATTGAGAGTCTCAGAACAGAGATATAGAAGAGGCCATTATGATAATGATTGTTAAGTATGTAGAAACGAAAAAAAAAATGACTATCATTTATTGGAGGGCAAAGAAGGAAATGAAAACATCGTCAATAATTAAACCAATTTAAGAAGTCAGTGGTTCACTATTAAGATCAAAGTCGGTGGTCAGTTAATCCAAATAACTTGGCTCGATTATCGGCCAAGATGGTTCCAGAATAAAATGAATTCCAAGAGCAGCACAAACAAGAACTATATGGAAATACAAGAACAACTGCTTGAAATCAAAGATCAGACTTTTGCGTGCATTGCCCACCCCAATCTTTCTTGGAGCCTGCAAATCTTAGACTTTATTAGCAGAATTGCAGAGAAGAATATAAGAATTAAAAACGAGATGCTGTAGAACCATCCTAAGCATCTTCTACGTAGATGACACGGTGTCAAACACCATAAGACAAGAAACTGGCCCGGTGGAAGACATCATATCAACCATCAAGAAAGAAAGTTGAAATGGCATGGGCACATCTTAAGAGCCAATAATCTTTCCACTGCCATCCTGCAAGTTACCATCTTTAGACTGAAAGAAACTCGGGCGCAACCGAGATAAATAGAAGATGGTCAAATGCTCAATTGGGAAGTGGCCCTACGACCCCGCCCTGTCATGGAATTAACAGTGATGATGGTGATGATGATTATGATGATAGCGATGATGATGACGACGACGATGATGATGATGATGATGATGAAAGAAGTCATTTTTAGCGTTGACTTTTCACTATCCGATTTTTTTAGAAATATTCGTTGAGACTTATTCACAGGTTAAGTTATTTTTTTAAAAACCGATTTTGGATCTAAGGAAAGGGCCTAAAAGGATGACTTTATTTTTTTTTAAAACAAAGGAAGAATAGAAGAAATAATAAAAAGAAAGAAAGGAAACAGACATGATATCGACGATGTCGGAAAATGGAAAACCCTTATCAATTTGGAGTGAAAAAAACCAATAGAAATGTTTTAAGTCAGAGAGAAAAGTGTCTTTGGGGGGAAGATGGTGAAAACGATATGGAATTGACCTGTTAAGAATTGGACATATTAAGAAAGGGATCGACCTAGATAATTAGATTTTATCAGGAAAACAAAGAGGTACAATTGTTTTGGACTTCAAGACCTACAAAAGTAAAGAAAGAAAAGATTGTCATTTTTTTGGATTTTGTTTTTTTTAAACAAGAACGATGTAACCACGCCCGCAAACAGAGGGGGAGAATGTTATTATTGGTTTGACTTCATTGGTTACGATTTTGAAGAAAAAAAAATGCTCGATCAGGACTGAAAAGACCTGTACGAGAGACTAAGAGAGATGGATGTTAGGGAAAACAATGGCGATAATGAAGACAGAATTAATGCAGTTTTGGAATTATCGAGAAGCCCTGACGCCGACAGACCCACCCCCGTTTTTTTTGCGTCAATTTAGGGCCCCAATCGACAAAAATCAGTTCTACCCTCAGACAAGAAGAACTTCCCAGCCCAAGTAGATGAAAAAACTTTTGCCTGAAAGCCTGAGAATAATTTAAAGTTACTAGGCTTAAATAGAGAAAAGACCACCTCAGACGACAGAGAGTTGCGGCTAAGTTGAAACAAGAAATTTGACAGAAGAAATACAAATATAGTTCTGCGAATGTCTATTTTTTAATTCTTTTTACATTATTATAATTTTCTATTGTGTGATAGAAGCTTGGTGCCAAGTATGAGAACACTTTTGTTTTTTTAACGGACTTTAAGAGGTTGTTTTATCAGCAATTTTGTTTGTCGTGAGTTTTTATTTTATTGTGTTTTGCCACCCCCGTCGGACTCAACATATCGGCCCCGATCCCTGCTGGTCCTGGAGCGTTACCGGAGATCGGTATAGTTGTTTTGATTGCTGGTGATCATCTGACCAAAGGGTTCGGCACGCTTGGACCCAGGAGAATTATATTTCTTGATTGGTGCCATTGACCAGGATTTATTTGACCAGGATAGAAAAGAATGGTGCCGTGACCAACGGATCCATAAACATTGCCAAGCACCGATGTTGAAAATTTTTTCCACAAGACTGTCCTTTTCTCACTAGTCAGATGGAATATTGAGCTGTGGACCGAGGGTCCTGAGATTTTGATCAGGAAGGAGTTTAAGAATGGCAATCCTCGAAAAAGAACGGCCATATTGAATGTTGATCCCAAAGTCCGCCATATCAAGTGTTGATCCTAAGAGCTTTTATATATTGATTGTCGGCAGCGAATGGCCACCCAAGATGGAAGAAGGGGGTAGGCGGAAAACAGAGGGTTAAAAATGAGGAGGACCCCCAAAGAAGGGCATGGTGATTAAGCCCACGCCGGAAGGTCAATCAAGTCTGCTGGACCTTTGAGGACCACAGGGTGGAATGTCCGACGAAGGGGATTGCCCCAGATGAATTGCGGGCTGCCCCCACCAATATTAACAAGGAACAAATTCGAAGAACTGCCCTCCCTGAGGATAGAAACAAGATGTTGGAATCGTCCATTCCTGTGACAAGAAGGTGCTGGCTTTGCAGGAGAACCAGGACACCTATGTATTTTCGCAGTTGAAACCTAATCCACTTTTTAATATATCATATGGCTGGGTTAACCCAAAGGTACCCAGTTCTTTTTAGAAGAAGAAAGCCCAGGTGTTTATTTGAGTTTAGTTTCTTTTAGAATCATTTCAGATTGGATTGTTTTATATCTAGACCTGTGTAAAGTTCGTTTTAAGCCGACGTGTTACCTCCAGGACCGCAGTGTCGGGAAAGGGTAGGTAATGTCAGTTCAAGTCTCCTCCTTCAGTAATATGACCCTGTTCCAGGCCCAAAGACTATCAAGGTTAGGAGGGGGAAGATGGAAGAAAATATCTGGAATCGGGGTGAGATTCGAGGAGGAAAAAGAAGCTAGTAGAGCAAACAAAAGGAATCTTAGATGAGGATAATTATATTTGCTAAAGTTTCATTTCTTAGAAGAAAATAACTGCGAGGAAAGTTGGCTCTAGAGATGATACCCTGGGGACACCGTTGAGCCCCTATCTATGCCGCGCATAGGAAATTTTTCTCCCATGAATCAGATACTTCAAAAATATACTAGGGTAAACCAACCATTCGCTTTTGCATGAATTGTCGCTACCGGAAATTTTGCCATGGTAGATTTAATGTCTTTTAAATAAGATGATTTTGAACCTAGGAAAAGACCTTTGTTTTACCTCGGAGTTTTGACAAGATAACAGAACGGATATGAAAAAATAATATAGTTCATTTGCCTGATCCAGATGAAAAGAACATTTCGTGGATACAGTCACATTGCATGTAGAATAGAAGAAAATGAAAGGAAACATCCAGAAGCCCAAAGAAAATGATCTTGGCATGAGACAAATGCATGGTGCATGTTAAATGATCATTTACGGGCAATGACAAATCGGTTAGGGAGGATTATCACTCATTTATTGGAAATATTGAAATATGAGTTAATTTTTTCTTATTCAGTTTATTAAACAGGTTGTTAATTTTTTTCGGAAAATATGTTGTCTTTTCTAAGGAAAGAAGAAGGAAAGAAAAGAAAAAGGAAGGAAGGGAAGAAAAGAAAGAAAGAGAAATGTATGACAAAGACTTTCAGGGAAGAATTGGTTGATATCGACCAGATGATCGAGAGCCTCTGACCGACTCTTGCATGCAATTTGGGAGGAAGAGAAATTTTATTTTTTTCTTTTGAACAATAGAAAATGAATTTTACTTTAGTCAGAGACTGGAATTCGTTAAGAAAGTAGAGATATTTCGACCTAGATAATTAATCCTATCAGGAAAAACAAAGAGGTAAAAAGAAGAGCAATTGTTTTTGGACCACAGAGGCGCCAAGAAGGCGGAAAAGAACCTTTTTCTAAAGTCCACCCTCACACTGTGAAACGAAATTGATTTTGTTTTTTTTAAACAAGAAATGTAACCACGCCCGCAAAACTGTCTCTTCGATTGACTTTTATGACCTCGATCAGGAACTTCTCGCCTGTGGAATACCATTCTCAATTACTGTTTTTTCAATAAAAGCAGGGATAATCGACAAAAAATCATATCCCGGACGGCACTCAGACAAGAAGAATTCAAATAGTAATGTCAATCGCCGGACGGCAGTGATCTCCAGTTTAAGTTGAAACCTTGATCTATCCATTATCCCTCTGCCACCTCATCCTTTCTTCTATCTTTAAGATATAAAAGGTTGTTACCTTTTTATCCAATTTATCGTGAGTTTTATTTTATTTGTGTTTTGCCACCCCTAGTCGGCTCAAATCTGGTTCTTTAAACACCGTGGGTAGACAGCGGTATAGTTGCTTTAGTGACCAGGTATTGGAAGTGATCGGGAAAGGCGAGGCTATCATGACCAAAGGGGTTGGATAATTGGACCCAGGAGGAGCGACGTCACCTTGCTCGGGGCGTAATGTTGTTACAAGTTTGACGACGAAAAGAAAAAAATATCAGTAAAACAAATATTCGCCTACAAAATATTATTTTTTAATATTTATATATAGCTTTTTTTTGATGTCTATTAAGAAATGAAAAATGATAAATCCCTATGTCTATTTTATTCTTTTTTTTATTATAAAACTAATTTGTGTTTTATGACTATATTTTTAATTTTTTTATCATAGAAAGAATGTATGTCCATAAACATTACCAGCACTTGCATCTATTTTCTTCCTGGAATTTGCCCACATAAGACACTACAGAAAAAATGGATCCAGGAATAATGTATATTGATTGGCGATCTGTCATGTGAATGGGTCCTAAGTAATAGTTCTGTTATGTTCTACTTGTAAAATCTGTTTCAAGCATCTTTACGATGCTTAAAATATAATCCCTCTGAGTTTAGTTTCTTTTAGAATCATTTCTCAAACGATGTTTTTTGACCTGAAGTTCGTTGGATTACCCTGTCGGAGTTTTCAGTAAATATTCAAAGAAAATAACTGCGAGGAAAGTTTCTATGAGAAATTTTCCATGAATTATACTTCAAATTTACAAAATTCAAAGCCAAAAGACAAGATCCAGAAAATGTAAAAAAAATCTGAAAAGTCGCCTCTCTGTCTTTTCCACCCTTAAAATTCAAGCGCCCAAAATAAACAGTAAAAAAACCCAAAAACAAAAAAACTATATTCCTCAAACAAATACCCCACACAAGGTCAGGTTATTTATCCCTCTCCTCATCCTTTCTTCTAACTCCTATCTGCTCTCGCCCAAATCTTCTGTAACCCCCCCATACTAGGTCGGGGCGGCTTAAAAAATTCTAAGAACAAATACGTTTTAATATTTATATATTTTTGTGTCTAACAATCAGCTTTATTTATATAAAAAATGATGGAGACCCTTATTTATAGAAAAAAATGGATCCAGGAATAATGTACACATCTGTCATGTTATGGGTCCCAAGTAATAGTTCTGATGCAAAAAGCATCTTTTACGAGCCTCCCAATATGATTTTGAGGCTGTAGATTACAGTCTGAATATTGCAAAGCTGAAAGGTAAAAAAAAAAAAACAACTTATCCATAAGACCCCCTTAAAAAATGCAAAAATAAACAGTAAAAAATGCCAAAAACAAAAAACTATTCCTCAAACAAACATTTTGTATTTACTTCAATACGATGAGAGGGACACATAGTCGGTTTAATGTGGGGAGCCTCGTACACCGGGCTTAGGGAAAAAATTAGAGCTCCGCAAAGTCGGTTTCCTCAGTTGCGACCTCTCTTTAATGCGATCCTTTGACGGAGTCGACCTCTTTGACGGAGCATTCTGACAAGGACAGAGACACAACTGAGAGATAATAAGAGAGAGTAATTTACAAACAAATAACCTAAGAACGAACCTTCAAATATGATTTTAAATAAGTATAAATTATTAATGTGAATAGAAACACCATTTCTGATAGTTGTCGCCAAAGTGATAAATATGAAAGTAATTATGAAATGGATAGATTCTTTGTTGCAACACGAATTCGGAATTTAGATTTTTTTTTTATAACTGAGTACATTAGGAAATCTTAGTGTGGCCAAACCGAACATTAATGACGGTTGTTGTCGATAGAACATTTGAATGACAAATAAATCTAATGAGATTTTCATCAAAACATTTTGACGGTTAGTTTTAAATACCACAATGTTTGTAATGCCTGCAGATGACTACTTATTGCCCAGACATCATAAAAAGGAACAATTCTAGATTGTATTTTAAATTCGATTTACCATTGCTTATTGACAAACCACGAGTATGCCTCTTCAACTTTCAGAGATTGAAATATCATTCAGGGCTTATAAACCTGGACTGAACCAGAAAAAAATATCTATTATTGCAAGCTAATTTTAATTAAGATAACTTTAACAACGACCATACATTGAAAATATAGCCGCCACCTTATACCCTGTCCCTATTCGGAAAAATAAGTTTACTTTCAATATGGCGTCTTTTTTTACACCGGCAAATACGTTACACTGCATTTTTTCCCATGACTTTAGACATTTTTTCTTTTTTATAAAATCACAGTTTTTCTTAAATAATTATACAACTTTTCTGTTCAATATCCCAGATATTGCATAGACCTGTTTGGCTTCCTTGTGTAAGGAGCCATAAATACCGCTTTTAGAACCTAAGCACATTTCGTACTGTGTTGGGTTCAGTTCATGCGAACAGAATTTTGAGTGGTAGACGTGTACCAGAGTGACGTCTGGTGCCCGGATCACAGTTAGATTTGAGCGTAAACACAACTCGTAGAAGTCAATGTCCTCTTTACCCCAGCCTTCTATCGTGGTGTCGTAACCCCCCGTAGCCAGAAAGTCTTTTTTATAAATGGATACCATACCGAATCCAAAATAGCGCCACAGACCGGCATCATTGTCTAACTTAAAGTGATCTATTTTACAGTTTTTATTTTTTGTTGGACATATTGTTTGCGGATCGAATTCACTGAAATAAATTGGAAAGTAAACTTGGCGGCCATAGATTGTGTTCACGCGGACCCTATGCAAGAACGTCTCTGTGATAGCCATATCTATGTCGATGAAAAGAAGCAGAGAATCGTTACTGCATTCTTTCATTCCATACTGTAAAGCAACACCTCGAGTAAATGCGCCTTCCATGAAGAGAACTTTCAGTTGAAAACAGTCGTACTTCGCTGTCAGATTTTCCATCATTTTGATTTGCTTTTTATAAAGTCCGTTTTCATCTTTGTACATGACCAGAATGACTTTCAGATTATCTTTCTTCTTCCTAAAAATATTTTCCAGTGTATGTACGAAGCGCACAA